GATAAGCACCGTCTTCGTAATTAAGCATGCAGGGAGTAGGGATTAATGAGTGGGCCAACATAAGCTACTGTTTTTGTGAGTTTTTGCAAACGGAATATGTTGTCGGGAATACCCAGTTTTACCATGCTGAAAAATATTTCCAGTTAAGATACACGCAACTCTGGGCCAGCGCTAAACAAACAACAGATCGGCCGACGACTTCTATCTAAGATCCGCATATGCATCTTCTCTGCAATTTTGCGCCGTGGCCTAAAGCAGCTGCTAAGCGCGTGTCTGGCATTTCAACCAATTCCCGTGATGAATTTACGATACAACAGTCGCTTATTACACATGGCTAGTCAAGTGCCGCCATTTTTTTAATGTCGGGTGGTTATTTGGGTGAAATCGACGTGACTCAGCTTCATTTTTTATAACAACTCCAGAATCGAGACTGTGGAGGTTGCCCCACATCTGGCAAAAGATACGGCGTACAGTGCTTCCTACAGTGTCCCCTAGTAGTTGTTCGATTTCACTCAAAATTTAAACTTCTCGAGCTGTTTACGACTTATTTCGCACTGTCTTCTTTTTGATCAAATTCAGCATCCAAGAGGGAGGAAAAAGCAAGTGTGCTCAGTACTGGCCTGACCAGGCAGGCAAGCCAGAGGAAAAAAAGAGTTTCACAAGGACTGTTAAAGTGACCCTGCTTGAGACAATTAAGTCGCCCTTCATGGTGACACGGGTGCTGATGGTGCAGCCGGAAGGAAAATCAGAGGTACGTGTTCCAAGATATCCGTTCTGTAAAATGGTGCCTTAAACTCCCTCTTTTTATCTACCACACGCAGCGCCCTATAAATCTCCCTTCATTTAGTATTTATGTGGCCAAGCTGGTCTTCGCCGCGGCAAGTGAGGCCTGTTGTGTCATTTTTTGCCCTTTTGGATACTCCATATTGCCGCTTCGTTCTATGTTGTCCCGTGTTATCCTCGTTGTTGCTGTGATTGCCAGTGCACTTTCGTGTTCTTTGCTTTTCCCCTTTGCTATGGAGGTCAAGTTGTGACTATGAACTGTAGGATTGGCTTACGGCAATTTTTATAGGCCTTGTTAGCCGACAGGTTCTGCTTTCGGCCTGCTTTTGTTCATCTTTAATCGGAATAAAGTCAGATTTGTCTGTCTCAGTTCGCAGCACAACTGTTGCGAAGTACGGTGCGTCGACTGCGATTACCTATGGCTAGGTACATCTCTCTCAACTGAGTCGAAGCCCGCAAAAAAGCAGTCTTGCAATTTTTCTTAAAGGAGTTGATGGGTGATTTGCTAGAGTAAGGGTTTTCCTTCGAACGGGCGCATTTCTTCCCTGGCTCTGACGCAGCGTCCGTAAAACTCAGAGTCATCATCTTAAGGGCCATCTTAAAGCACCCTCCAGAGGACATTATCTTTACTCCGAGGCCTACATACACTACGTTTCCAAGGGAGTGAATCCAGCAATGGTACCATACGCAGCCTCCAGCACATCGTGTGTCTCGCAACACCCATTCTTCCGTCGCAACGCAATGCCAACACGGAACCACTGTCTACAAGGCTGGGTGCAAAATTGTACAAAAAACCGTTCCGT